AATAAAAAATTTAAAAATTTTCCAGGTGGAAAATTATACCAATCAAACTCACTTGAAATCATTTTCCCTGCAAAACATTTTCTAGGCAAACCTTTTCCCTGTAAAACATTTTCTTTCCACCCATTTTCCACCCTTGCAATCAAACGCACCTTAAATAAAAGGTTGAATTAAATGACTTTTTTAATTCCATATATCATTTAATGCCACATTAACTCTACATATATTGGGGTTGTAATCCCAATGAGATTAAGTCGCATTACTTTATTTTTTATGGATTAATTACATTAATAAATGGTGTAATACAATCTTCATACCTAATTTTTATCTAAATAGACCCTCAACCTATTGTTAACTTTCCAGTTGGTCCTTAATCTTTAAAAATGAACAAGTTGATCATCATCACCCCTTAATTATGGTTTCAAAATTAGTCCATAGATGAAGTGCCCATATATTTGTGAAATTGTCACATCATATTCAGGACAATATATCTGACTCCAAATGTAATCAAGTTCAAGATTTAAGATATGAGAGTAGGGATGACAAAATTCCCCACAACTCATTGTCCCACTGTACCTAGAATAGGAACAACGAACATGGACATCGCCTCAAACTGTCCCACCTCTTATTTTACACTTCATATACATTTTTCAAGTTAAATCATATTTTAAAATAATAATAATAAATAAGTAAACAGAGTGGGAAATAGCGATATTCAAATCCCTCTTCGTCTCCCAAAAATCTTCGGCTTGCGATCCCCATATATGAGGACCAATTGATAATTTAGATTTAAATGGTTTTTATCATTCGATATTGATTATTTAATTATTATAAAGGGCTAGTGATCAACTTGATACTCGAGCAATAAGTTGGCGAACAATAATAAAAAATTTCACATTCTTTTGTGCCTAGCATAAAAAAATGTATCACGCCCGCCAATAATTCGTGTGATTGTGTTTTAATTTCTACTCAAGAAAAAGAAGAGTAAGATAATTGAATTATCATCATTCATTTGTAATTCATTCATGGGTGAATTGGGTGGTCTTCAAACGTAAATGCTCTATTTGATTGAATTTATACATTTTTGCAAAAAAAAATAAAATAATAATAATAG